TAGGAGGAAGATGGGGAAGGCTGGCGGGTCCTGGAAAAAACTTGAGCATAAGTACAACATACGGCACTGAACGCAGCAACAGATCACTAATGTGCAAGCACAACGCATGAGCTTAGGCTGCTACCCGTGCCAAGATCCATTTTTCTTCGGCATGCTCCGCTGCTTCGAAGCAAATCAAGAGAACGAGCGGCGGGCGGTGACAGGGCAGCTCGATGGAGCTGACCTGAACGGACAGAGCGAGCGGCACTCAAGACTCTGAGCCCCTACCCACTGCCATCAAGTGCCATGGCCTTGGCCACTATCAGCACAGCAAGATCTTTGCAGAGCGCCGCAGGGTAAGGACACGCCCTCGAAGTCCAGAACACACCGAGAGGGTCTTTACCCTTCAGTGCTATGTGTGCCTTACCCGTTGCACTACACCTTTTTTGACAGCCTGTACACAGGCGAAGGGACGGCTGCGCTGGCAGCCAATTGAATAGTAAAAAGGTTGTCGACTTCTTCCAGGGGACCTGATACTGGCAATAATCAACCGACGCCCATTCGGCGTGAGCGTCGCGGGCCATGTCCAGAAGCTCCGGGACAAGCCAGAGGCGAGACGAGCGAGGATTCTCGAGGGAGAAGGGGATTCCCGCCTCGATGGCAGCAGCCAGCAGGCGCAGAACATTAGCGAGCAGACGATTGGCGATCATCACCTTCTCAGCGTCCGCCGCCGCCAACAGAGGGAGGCCGTGCAAATGCGCATCGTCCCTGAGTGGCGGCGGCCCCCGACCATCATTCTTCCTTGCCCGGCTCCACGTTTTGCAGTCCAGGCCGACATGCACCCCCGCGACCTCCTTCCTTGATATCCTCAATACCAGACTGTCGACGAAGGACTCCTCAAGAAGGTCGGCTCGCGGGTCGTCGGCGTAGTCCCAGCCTTCCGAAGCCCAGCCCGCGGCGTGGACGGCCTTGGCCAAGGCGGCGGAGCCGCACATGAGTTCGACGAAAGGCCCGGCACGGGCACGGGCTGAGGCCCCTTGGCAGAAGGAGCGGGGCGGCACCTGCTGGGCGCGGGCGCCACCTGCGAGTCCATGGTGGGCACGTCCCTGGGGGGCACGTAGCTGGTGGCCTGCGCGTAGCGGAGCTGGTAGGGCAAGTACCTGTAGGGCACCTCGACCCGCTCCAGCGACTGGCGCCACTGGACGACGAGCTGCGCGGCGGTGAGACGAAACAGCGTCGCCTGCGGGCCCCCCGACCTCGCGCGCGCCAGCCGCGGGCCCACCCCGGGCACCTCGACCGAGCTGAGGAGCAGGCCCTCGTCCGACAAGCTGGTCTTGCTGTACTCGCCCATCGCGATGGGGTGCAGGTTGAAGCCGTAGACCGTGCACAAGCCCAAGGGGAGGAAGAGGTCCTGCTCGCGCAGGCCGACGGCCTCGGAGGGATTGAGGTGCACCCCGAACGTGGTCACCACCCTGAGCGCTGCGTGCTGGGACCCCCGCTGCATGGCCATCACCAGTGCGACCAGCGCGACCACCTGCCAGGGCATGGTCGGGCGCGACCGGCCTGGGACCAGGCGCTTCGAGCCCTGGAGGGCCCGATAGAGACGCGGCAGGCGGAGCGACTTCTTTCGGGAAAAGTCGGGGTGCGCCGAGATGTACTCGGCATATGTGTTCAGGACGGCAACTCTCTCGAGCCCGATGCTCCAGGCGTAGTCGGCGTAGTTCATCAGCACCAGGACGACCTGCGCAGCGGGGGGCAGCGGCAGCTCGAAGGGGCCCACGAACATCTGGAAGCCGTCGAGAGTGTCCCTGTAGTAGGCCAGGGTCTCGGGGGCCACCGCGTTCCCGTCCAGGACGCTCCTCTCGTCCCCCCCCACCATCGTCAAAGCCCCGTGGGCCCGCAGACGGTGAGCGATCCTCACCTCCTTCGTCGCCCCCACGAACGGCCTGCCCTTCACAAGGCTCTTCTGCACGATCTCGGGGCGGGCCGCCAGGCGCCAGGCGGACACCGCGCGGGACAGGCGAAATACCTCCCGACTTGGCGTCCCAGCGCCTTGACCCTTCATCGGAGGGGTTGAGCTCTGAAGGTATCCACCGATGCTCGAACCGCGAAGCAGTGGCGACGGAATAAGCGGCCTCCCTGCGGCAGCATCGCAGAAGGGGATAGGAGGAGCATCGCCCACGTCCGAGCGCGAGCACGGTGCCGAGGTTGTCCCCGAAACGTACATGACGGAGACCAAAAGAGGCCTGGGCCCTTGTGATGTGCCGAGATGTCATGTTTGAAGCCCTCCCCTCGATAATCGTGATGGGCTCCTTGACGTGAACCCTGGCCGAGACCACCTGCTTCCACTGGGGGCCCTGCAGAGCCTGTACGGGCACCTCTGTGAACTGCGGGTTGAGCTCCCAGGGGTCCTTGACGAGGTCCATGCTGGTGCTCCTGGGGGCCTTGACGGTCTCGATGTCGCTGAAGACGTCGAAGGGCCCCTCCGAGGCCTCGTAGCCTCCAGAACGGACACCCAGAGCGGAACGGCGTGCCGAAATAGCCGAAGGCATGCGATATCTCCATCTCTCACTGACTGACCCGATACGTTTGACGAGATCTGATGACAGTGTTGTCTGGCACGTCGCCATACCCGTCAGGCAAGCGTCATAAGCGAATACCGTCGGCGACCACTGAAGCCGAAGATTAGCCGACATCAGCGGCAGCAGGCGACGGCACTGCTCGACTTCGCGGGCAGCTGAGGGCCAGAGACGGGCTCGCACATGATAGCAATCCCTGACGAAATCATACAAACTCCTGAGGATCGAGAGCAGCTCCCTCTTCAACATCAAATGATCGATGAGATGACCCACGTACCTCTCCACCTCCCTCCCCGTGACTCTAGGGCGCTGCTCTAGCCACAGTGAGGCCTGGCGGAGGCGCTCAGAGCGCTCGGGCCGTGAGAAAACTCGCCCAGACGCGCCATCGATCAGGCGGCCGAGGCTGGTGAAGACGTCAGTGGCCTCAACCACCTCGTGGATCTGCACGCCATGCTTCTTCCAGGCGTCGCAGATCTGGTGCATCAGGACATTGCATCTGACAGGGTCGGTGCCGATGACGTTGATGTTATCGCAATAGGGGAGGAGGCAAGGGACCCCCCCGTCGAGCGGGGGCACCGGACCGTGGTCGGTCAGCACCCGCGAGAACCCGAGCCCCGAGGCAGAGCAGCAGACGTGCGCGTTCGCACGCTGCCCAAGCCAGAAAGCCCAAGACCAGCCCATCGGAACGACCCGCAGGAACGGCCACACCCAGCCCCCTGAGGGGCCCTCGGGAGTGTCCACTGCCTCAACCCCCCATTGCGACAACGAAGCCTGCGACACTGGCGGCAGCGAGAAGAACAGTCCCAACTCCTCCCTCAGGCCGAGAGCGTAGAAGTAGTTGCGCACATCCGCCTGGGCGCAGAAGAGCTTGGTGCTGAAGCTGCCGTCCTCCCCACGATCATCAGGGAGCTGGAGGCGACCATGCGCAGCCGATGTCCCCATGGCCAGCGGCGGCGGGTCGCGAAAACGTCGATTAGGCACTCTAGCGTCCCATACGAGACGCTGTGCTCCACTCTTCTTGGCCACGAAGAAAGGGGTGACCAGGTCCTTCGGGCGATACGTGAACCCCAGCATGTTAGCCTTCACCAGGTCGCCGATGAAGGTATGATACGCCACAGGGTCACGCTTCAAAACTTCGTCCATATAGGGAGTGACGGGCGGCTCGCTGTCCAGGACGCGGGACCACTCGTCAGGAGTCTTCATCATCGCTTGCTCGTAGTCCAGCACGTAACTCCCCCCGATCCCGTCAAGCACCGACTCGACAGGAGGTATGACCGCACCCACTTCTGGGATGTCGACTCGGGATCTGACGTACCTTACCACAGGACTCGGTGCCTCGTCCGCGGCGTAGGACAGGCTGGAGGCCAGGAGCTCCTTCGCGGCTCCACGGCGAGAAAAATGAGTGTCAGACTTCGGGGCCATCCTGACCTCGTTCAAAATGGTGGCGGTCGCGAGTCGCTGGGCCGCCGTGATGGGCCCACGCTGCTCGCAGGGAGGATGGAGAGCGTTGAGACCCGCAATGGCATCATTGGCGCACTGCTCCGTCTGCCGCCTATGAGCCAGCCTTCGCCTCGTCGACGTAGACGCTGGCGCAGAAGTAGGCGGAGTCGGCTGAATGGAGGGCAGCGGGAACAGATCACGTTGGCGATCATCAGCTGCTCTCAGCCCAGGAGGGCGTCCCATGTCACACGATCCTCGGACGGTCGTTACATTGCGATCCCCGAGCCCTGCCCTGGCTGGAGGGCGCGAGGTGCGTGCCGCTGGGCCCCCACGGCCACAGTCGGTCGGTACCCCACGACCCTCAGCGCCAGGAACAGTGCGAGGAAGGAAGGAGCGTGCCGCCGAGGCACCACAGGCCTTGTGTCCGTCGCGGGCCGGCCAGCCCCCGCGACTGGGAGCCGCCATGATCCCTGCCCGCCAGTACCGCTGGCGTCGGTATTGCCGCCCCCCTTGCCGCGGCGCAGCTTCTGCTCCTCCTTCGCCTTGCGAGCCTCCTTGAGGATCGCGGCCCTGTCGCGCATGCCCGCGGCCACGTGACGTTGCAGGTCGGGGGCGACCGCGGCGCCTTGGCGATGCGTGGCCCAGCCCATGAACTCGTCGGCCGCGGAGTAGTCGGGGTTCGAGGGAGATGCCGAGTGAGCGTCCTCTATGACCTGGATCCTGCGCACGACGAGCTCCGCGCTCTGGAGCGCTGGGGCGTTGAGCTGGTCCACGGTCACGATGGCCTCCAGCACGTGGCACAGCACCTCGTGTTCGTGAACCGAGCGATCTCCATCAGGGATGCGTGCCGATCTCAGCCAGTTCGAATGATGAGTGACTGGCGTGAGCCCCGCATCACGATATGACCTCAGCACCCAATCCGTAGTGCGCGGCCCCTGAAGCATGATGCCACCCTCAGGCTCGTCGACGATCTGCATGTCCACGGCCTCACTGTATGGGCGGCGGCGCGCCCCCTGCTGGTTGAAACGCACGGGCAGCACGCGTAGGTCGTCCACCACGAAGGCGTCCACGTCGGCCAAGGCAACACGTCGAGCTCCGACGAAACCCCCACCATGAGGAACCAGCGCCAGTTCCCCGTGAATGACGGCGCCCTGAGGGAGAGGGTCAGGCATCTGCTCACCGCGCCGCAACCCCTGAAAATCCTCGATCGCCAGCCACACCGTGCCAGCCAATGCGGGGGCGGGCGCGGCTCCAGCGCGCGGGACTCCTCCCACCACGCCGGCGCCGCGAGGCACGATGGCTCCCTGTGGTGCGGCCGCCGCGGGAGGAGCCGCCGCGGGCGCTGCCGCGGCTGCGGGAGCATCAGCAGCAAGCGGAGCCACTCCCCCGACGAGGAGCGAGCCTTCACGGATGAGCTGCTGGACCTCTGCCGCCGTCGGCACCTGGCGGAAGCGGTAGACGTGGGCTGGGTTGACTCCAGGTGGAGTCGCGCCTTGCGCCCCTGACCACCGCACATCCCTGAGGTCATCAGACGTCGTGTACTCTGCATAATGGTATCCATCTGGCGAAACCGTACTGACAAGACCTGGATCCCCTATTGAGACACCAGTCACGAGCCTCTCATGATACACTGGCGGTCCAGGTAAGTCATACTGGAACAGCACGTAGTCACCTACTCTCGCCATTGCGCCTCCTGATTAGCTGCAACTGCTCTCGAGCTCGGTCTCCCACCGCTGTCGCCTCGGCGTCGGTGCGGCCGCCCCGCCGCCAGACTGCACCGCCCAGCCCGAGCCCTGCAGAGACTCCCGCCAGGTAGCCCCAGCAGGCCGAGGGAACGTCGAGCCCCTCAGGGCCGAGCTCCACTCCTGCAGGCGGGCAGGAGAGGTTCACCAGCGGCACGGGGCACGCTGGCGTGGGGCAGGCCAGCGCTGGGCAGACCTGGATGGGGCACGTGACGTTCGCGGGCGGGCACGCCAGCGAGACAGCGGGGCACTGCGGCACCGCCGAGAGGAGGGACTGTCGCAGCGCCAGCAGCTCGATAGCGCGGATCCCTGCGGACTGGAAGGTCTCGATGAGGGCAGACTGAGCCCCCATCAGGGAAAACCTCTCCTGGAAAAAACTTGAGCATAAGTACAACATACGGCACTGAACGCAGCAACAGATCATTAATGTGCAAGCACAACGCATACATTTTTACATACACATACATACACACATACATACATACGTACATGCATGCATACATACATATATACGTACCTACATACCTACACACCTACATACCTACATACCTACATACCTACATACCGACATGCCTACATACCTACATACCTACATGCCTACACATCTACATGCCTACATACCTACATACTTACATACCTGCATACCTATATATATACTGCTCATATATGTGAATATATTCCTCCATCGGCGAAGTGCCGACGCCGTCGCGAAGCGCTGAGCTGGGTCGCGCTTGGGCGAATATCTAACTGGTGTCGCAGGAAGTCACGAGAGCAGACACAAAGAAAAACGCAAAGCGGATGCACGGGGATTTCGCCGCCGACCACCTCTTCTCGCCAATCTTCCCCGCCACCCCGTCGATAAGCAATTAAAGTACCCCTGACCCTTTGGGAGGGGGCCTAAGTTAGGAGGCCCAAAAACGTTAGGGATGGCGTTTTTGTTTCTGCAGGTGTATCAGACCAAACCGCCCATATGTATCATCCCTGATGCAACGACGGGGACCAAGTGAGGCCACGCCTTCATCGTGCTATCAGTGTTAGAGGTTCTTTTGCTCTCGATGACCCCCCCTCCCCCCCTCGCGGGGCGCTCGAGCTGCTGGACCGATTGCGAGGTGGGCCTCCTCCTCCTTCCTCCTCCTCCTCCACGCACAGAAGGGGTCGTTGTCAAGATGGGCCTCCTCCTCCTCCTCCTCCTCCTCCTCCCTCGCCGTTCAGCGCCGCGCACCAGGTCGTCCTGGAAGCCTCCAGCAGCGGCACGGATGGACGATGCCATCTTCGTGCTCCGAGCGTGGCTCCCGCCCTCCCAGCGCCGCGAGCCTCCCTCTGGAAGGCCTCCAGCCGTTACACGAGTGGAGGGCGGTCCCCTCTCGAGTGTGGCCGCCGCTGTGGCGCCACGCACACTCTTATCTGAAGCTTCTGGTCCCTGCACGGACGCAGGGCGGTCCCTTGTCGAAGTGCGGCCGTCGCCGTAGCGCTGCGCATACTCGTTTGAAGGGGCCCTGGGACACACAAATAAATACACACAAATAAAAAGATCCCCCATATGTTCCCATGTTTTCTGGGTTGTTGTCTTAACCCCCACTTCCAATATTTTCCCATATTTTCTGGGGAATCGACGATTAATTGTGTCTGTGTTTTTTGTCCCTCCTGATCGTTGTCAAAAGCTTCCAGCAGCGAAACGGACGGCAAAGGGGGTCGATTTCAAAAGGAGCATCTCGCCTTGGCGCCGTGAAGTCTGCCAACAAAAATACACGACTTGAGGGGGGGCGTGTTCAAAGTGAAACTTTGTTTGAGACTTCTTTCGTCCGTACTGTGGCTCCTGTGCAGATCGGTACTCTCGCTTGAGACTCGCGTAAGTTTTGGCCCGGGGCTCTCTTCTTCAATTCAAGGCGGGGCAATCGCTGCACACTTCCCTGAGCTTCATGATCATACGTCGGTGCCGTCCTTACCGCAATTAAGTATGGATGGCAACTCCTATTCAAAAAATGGCTCTCGCCTGAACTGCAGGCCATGGGGCGTTCGTCTTTCAAATGGGCACTTCCCGCGTTGAAAAGGAATCAATTGGGACGTGCGGGCATACTGTGCAGCATCGTTGTTGCATCTTGGGTTTACTCTGGTTCTCCTTCTCCTCCTCCATTTCCTTCCCGTCCCTCCTCCTCTTTCTCTTCCTGCTCCTCCTGCTTCTACTTCTCCTCCTCCTCATTCCGCTTCCTCCTCCTCCTCCTCGTCGTCCTCCTCTTCCTCCCCCACCTGGCGCAAACCCCGAGTCTCAAAATTCAAACCACACGCGAACAACAAGCTACTCTTCTGCTCCCAGCCCCTTGCCGAACACGTCTGACGAGGCCTGCAGATTTCGGGGCAGGCGGCCGTTTGTCTTGAGACAGCACCTTCTTGGCTCGGGCTGTGGAGGGGTGACAGAGGCCATGCAATCCTGAGCTGATCTTCGCACTGCTGTACGCCCCGAACTTGCGACACCACTAGAGTTCACGAGCATTGGACAACTCATGACTCTGATGGATCTGGTGCAATTCCTCCTTCCTCCTCCTGCTCCTCCTCCTCCTCCTCCTCCTCCTCCTCCTCCTCCTCCTCCCGCCTCGAACCTCGCCCCTCGGAACCTCGGGCCTCGATCCTCGAAGCGAGCCCTTGAATTCGGTTGGGAATGTCCTCCTACAGGCGGATGTTGGGCGAAAGCTTGAACATGTTCGAGAAATGCCCAAACATAATCACAAAAAAATGCTTGAAGAATCACCCCCTGAATATTTCGAACTATTTTGGAATACTCCTCCTGTGGAGGGACGTGCCCGACTTCATCCTTGCCCCTCCTGCCCCTCGAGCCCTCAGAGCCCCCTCATTATTTCTAACTATTTTGGCATATCCCTCCTGTGGAGGGACGTGCCCGACTTCCTCCTCGACTCTCCTGCCCCGCGAGCCCTCGAGAGCCCTCGAGCCCTGCCTGCCCCTGACTCTCCTGCCCCTCGAGCCCTCGAGCCCCCTCGAGCCTCCTGCTATTCCTCCTTGACTCTCCTCGAGCCCCCTCGACCGCCCGCCCCTGACCCTCCTGCTATTCCTCCTCGCCTCGAGAGCCCCCCTCCCCCCCCCCCGCGCGGGGCTGGCGGCGCGGCCTCCTCCTGGGGCGCCTCCGCCGGGGCCGACTGCTGGCGCTCACCGGGCAGCTGCCCGGGCCGCTTCCGCTGGTCTCCGCGGGGGTCGGGCGCGCGCGCGCTGCGAGATCCAGATCCACCGCCTGGGATCCAGAGCCGGATCCAGATCCAGATCCAGATCCACCGCCGCCAAGGGGCGGGGCTCCAGGTCCAGATCCAGATCCAGAACCGGATCCAGATCCAGAACCGGACCGCCGCCGAGAGGCGGGGGTGTATCCAGATCCACCGCCTGGGAGCCGGCGCCCTGGTGCCCCAGCGGGCGGTGGATATGTACACATGTTGGCCCCCAGGGGCCCGAATGTGTCCATGTCCACCGCCTGCCGAGGCTCCGAAGATTGATCCTCCCGGCGGTGGTCATGTATAAATTCCCGCCTCGGACAGGCCTCCAGCGCCTGCCCCCCTCAGTAGCTGAGCCATCCTGCTTCGATGCGTCGCTCCGCCCAAGGGTAACTATTACAGATAGCTATGAGCACTCATCTGTAGGTTGGGCATTGTTTTCGGAGCCTGGGGGGATCGGCTCGAAATGCAACGGAGGCCCCCCGCCGGGAGGTCGGTGTCGCTCTCGGATCGTGTTCGTGTCATGCGTGCGGGAAGCTGACCTCAGTGAGTCCACGCCCCCCGGCTGGCTGACGGTGGCTCGGGGGTGCTGGCCTGCGCGCCCACTCTCTGTGAGCGTGGCTCTCCCGCACGCGTCTCCCGCGGTCCTCTGTGAGCTGCCAGGCCGCGCGGCCGCTGCTGGACAGCAGGCAGGCTGTGGTTCAGAGCAAGGAACGTTGACCAGATTGATTGCGGTACCATAGAATCGGCCATTCTGATCATACTCAGCATAAGCATCATCGCCAGTATGACAACAATCAGCATCAACGCGATCATCATAACCATCACCCCTATCGTCATCACCATCATCGCACAGCAATCAAGCCTTTCAAACATGCGGTGCGCCACGAGGTGGTACAGCGATCGAGAAATCGGTGGTAGAGAACACGTTAGGTAGAATGTGGGCTCGACCGTGAGCCCGAGAATGAAGTCGATAGATCGGATGCTGGAGGATGATATCGACAGATAATGAAATCGATACTGAGATCAGATCGATACTGATGTCTCGCGGTACCCCGTGGTGTCTCGTGATGTCCCGTGATCTCGTATGTTCTTCGTATCTTTTCCTACCGGAAAAACCGCGTGGGCAAATACATGACACCTGGTTCCGCTGGTTCCCTCGATGCTTTCTGGTGCCTGGTAGTGGGTTCAAGTGTGAGGTCGATAGTGAAACTGATAGCGGGGTCGAGTGCAAAACATCGGCGGTGAGATCGATACCTTGATCGGTGCAAAGCTAGAAAGTGAAATCGGTCGTGAGATCGATAGTGGGATCCATAATGAGATCGATGATAATGAGGTCGATCGTAATATCGATGAATAATGATATCGACAGGTAAAAGATATCGACATTGAGATCGATGGTGGGATCGGTGATGAGATCGGTCGACAACGATATCGATACGGAAATCGATACTGGTGTCCTGTGGTGTCCCGTGGTGTCAGGCGGTTTTCCGTGGTCTTGTATGTTCTGAGTATCTTCTTCTGAAGGAAAGAGCGCGCGGTCAATATCTGCCACCTGGTTCTGCTGCTTACCCCGATGTGTTTCGATTGATGTCCCAGTAAGGAAAGAGGGGCAAACATATTTCTCTGCACGTTCGTAGTACGTCCTGAACAAATACGGGAACGGGCTAATACAAGCCAACTAACTATATTGGTTGCCCCGATGACTCCCGTTGGATGCCCCGATCGGTGAATAGATGGACAAGCTGATTGCCCTGCAAGGAAGAAGGCGCGGGTAAGCAAATGCGGCCTGTTTCCGCTGGTTGCCCCGAGGATTCCTGATGTTTATGGTCAACCCGTATATAAAGGATGCGCGGTAAGGATGCAAGGGCCTTGGAATGCCACGTCGACGCTTTGCGAGCGGGGCGCGGCCAGCGGAAGCGGTCAAGGATGGAACGAAGGGAAGAATGCAAGGTTAACCTTGGAAAATCGTTAATCCTCACTGTGCGGGTTGACTGCATCAAAACGCCATCGGTACACAATCGGTGCTGTTCCGTAGTGCCCAACGGGTTTCCGTCGACTCCAATCCGACCCCAATCGCACATCAAAAGCTGAATTCCTCCCACCCACAGCCGTCTTATCAACCGAAGGGTGGTCGTATACGTAGGTTACTATATCTATACACGTTAAAAATGACGTTGAACATCTAAAGATGAGTATGCTGTACTGGAATATCGGAAGTTTGGGGCCAGATCGATTTGAAACGGAGGCTCACTCACGGGGAGATCGGTTTCGCTTTCGGGTTCGCGTCGTGCGGGGGAAGCGAAACTGCGTGAGCGGGCAAGAAGAATAATTCCGCTGTGGTCAGGGCGTGTCAGGACAAAAGACCGCCCCTCAAATGGACTAGAATGGCTGGGGGTGTCCCGCCGTGGTGTCCCGCCGTGGTGTCCCGCCATGGTGTCCCGTCGGTGCCCGCGGGCGGTGACCCGAGGTGTCCTGCCATGGTGCCCCATCGAAGTCCCGTCAGTGTCCGGTCGGTGTCCCGTCGGTTTCCCGTCGGTGTCCCATCGGTGTCCCGTGGTGTCCCATCGGTGTCCCGTCAATGTCCACCACCACACCCATCACACCCCTCATCGCCACAGTCGCCGTCAAAGTGGCATGGGGCCACACAATTGCCACCGTCGTCATCGCCATCATGTTTGTTCGCCAACATCGCCAGTGTGTTAGCCGATTGCCATCACGCATTGTCGTCAGCATCGTCGTCTTGCATCGTCCCCAATTCGTGAGCGCATCACCATCATCGCCACCATCACAATCATCGCAGTTGTCCTCCGAAGTTGTTCCCCCCCCTCAACCTTCTTCGGCCAATGGGTGGTCATATAGGTACTTTGAGATAAAGCTCCATCAATATCGGGGCTTGGGCGATGATTTTGACGTGAAACGGGGACCCCCCCACAGGGAAATCGTTTTCGGTATCGCGTTCGCGTCGAGCGTGCGGGCGAGGCGAAGCTGCATGGGCGGGCGCGAGGATTTCACCAGCCGTGGCTGGGGCGAAACTGATCTCACAGGGAAATCGTTTTCGGTATCGCGTTCGCGTCGAGCGTGCGGGCGAGGCGAAGCTGCATGGGCGGGCGCGAGGATTTCACCAGCCGTGGCTGGGGCGAAACTGATCTCACTGACACTACGTCGCTAAGTTGGTTGGCGGTGGCTCGGGGGTGTCCCGTCTGTGTCCCGTGGTGTCCCATGGTGTCCCATGGCGCTGTGTCCCGTGGTGCTTTATGGTGTCCCGTGATGCCCCCTGAGATCGATTGCCAGATCGATAATGAGATCGGTAGCGGGATCGATAGTCATATCGACCGACAAATCGAAACTGAGCCCCATAGCGAGGTCCATTGTGAGATCGACAGACAGTGCTACCGATAAATCGAGGAATATCGATAAAGAGATCGACCAAAAGAGAAACTACGAGATCGATAGTGGATGGCCAGACAAGTGTTCCGTCGTGCACAGCGGGTTTTTGGCCAATTCCCATTAGACCCCAATCGCACACCAAAAGCTGATCCCCATATACACACGCACACACACAATCTTCGCATCACCCGAAGGGTGGTCGTGAAGGTGCATAGTATAGTAAAGACAACTGGGTATAGGCCATGACTGCGAGTTTAAGATGCGGGTCCTCATCGTCATCCTTGCACTTCATCCTCCTCCTCCTCCTCATCATCATCATCCTTCTCCTCCTCCTTTTCCCCCTCCCTCCTCCTCCTACCCTCGTCGTCGTCGTGGTAGTCGTCGTCACGAAGTGTGGTGTGGGGCGTTTGTTTCTGTCGTCGTCGCGCCATTCCGCGCTCGCGGACTACCCAGCGTTCGCGGAGATTGGTTCCTTTTTGTGTTCCGCAGCAAAGGGCTGGCTCGGAAATTCAGCTCAAAGCGCAAGAGCACGCCCGTGTCCAGCTTCACAAGGACGCCCTTCTGCACGGTCTGCTTGAATCGCCAGTGTATGGCGCCCCATCAACCCCCCAGTCACCGACCCCATCATGGACTCCTCGGCACGCACTTGGACCCTAGCAGGGTTGACGCAGGCCCCCAGAAAAGGGAGATGCTACGCCTTGTGCGTTTTACGCGAAACTGCGAAGGTGCAGGCGCAACTGCGGCGCGAAAACTCGCGCACGTGCTGAGATGAATTGCCACACGCCTGGCAGATCTGCTTCGCGCGTGCCAGTCGCATCGGACGGCACTGGGGCTGGAGGTGGAGCTCCCAAAAGAGGCCGTAGGTGGAGTTCCATAAGGTGGCCTGAGAACGTGTCAGGAAAGGGCGAGGTGACCGGGAAGCCGCCATGCGGCCACCACCATTGGAACTCCCTCTGGGGCCTGGGGCGCGTACCATGTCTGGACTCCGTCCAGGCCCCGATCCAACGCGGTACGGAGCATAGGTGATTCAGCTCTAGGGGCCGAAAAACTCTACACGTACCATTCCCGGGTCGAGAATCGACGGTACGGTGCACACAAGTCGTCCGCGAAGAGGGGTGTGCCAGAATGGGCGTGGTCAGGCATACGAACCCTGCCAGTTGGACCTCCTATGGAGCTCCTGAGGGGCCACGACACATGTAAGGAGCGTGCCAGAATGGGCGTGGTCAAGCAGACAAACCCTGTCATTTGGGCCTTATGTGGAGCTCCTGAAGGGCCGCGAAACGTGTGACGGGTGTACCAGAATGAACGTGGTCAGGCATACGAGCCTTTGTCATTGGGGCCACGAAACGTGTGATTGGTGTGCCTGGCCGTGGTCAGGCATATGAGCCCTGCCATGTGGGCCTTCTGTGGAGCTCCTAAGGGCAGCGAAACGTGAGAGAGGTGTGCCAGAATGGGCGTGGTCAAGTATGCGAAGCTTGCCATCTGGGCCTTCCGTGGAGCTCCTGTGGGGCCACGAAGCGTGTGAGGAGCGTGCCAGAAAGGGTGTGGACAGGCATGCGAAGCCTGCCATTTGGGCCTGCTGTGGAGCTCCTATGGAGCCACGATTTGTGTGAGGGGTGTGCCGAGGCAGAGACATGCGGAGGGAGCAGAAACGTGCGGAGGGCAGAGGCAGGGATGGGAGGAGGGAAAGGGGGAGAAGGCAAGCCAGGTGCGCTCGCGTCATATCTGACGTCCTACCCGTCCCTCCCATCCCTTACCGTGGCGCAGATCTCCTCTCTGTTCGCACAGTCGGATGTCGTAGCAGGGCGTAGCATTACATGGCATAGCATGGTGTTGAAGATCAACGCGTAGCCTGACATAGCATGGCGTGGCGACGTCCCAAAGTGAGGGGGGGCTTATGCGGCCCCAAAAAAACAACGAATCGTCACCGAATGTGTAAGCACTTCAGATGGTTGTTTCGAGGGGCCATGTTCCAAATGTGGGGGCCGATCTGAAAGATTCGGAACGAGCGGAAGCGCGGAAATGAGGCCAGCGCTGCAGCGGGAGCACGATTCGGAACGAGCGGTAGCCCGAAAATGAAGCCAGCGCTTCAGCGAGAGCAGCATTTTGAGAACATCCAGCGAAAACCAGTTTCCCAGGAATCTGGTGTAAAAAAACAATACGCAGAGGGGGGCCAGATACTTCCCGGACGTCACCAGGGGAGAGAGGAGAGTAGTATTTAGATTTGTGTAACTGTAGAGGAGCGGAGGACACGGGGCGTTGCCGAAGGCCACCGAAGGCGGCCAGCGATCGCCGAAGGGCCGCCGAAGGGCCGCCGAAGGCCGCCGAAGGGCCGCCGAAAGCCCTCCCCCCTCTTTCTAGAAGTCGAAAAATCCCCCCCCCCCATGATAACCACCCCGACACGCGACGTCGTTTAGTAAACTGGCCCAAAGAAGGAATCAAGCAGGACAGGGCTGTTTAATACACGCCCAGGGCCGCTTAATAAACGCCGATTGTCCGGTCCAGGTGGCTCTTCCTCCCCTAACTTTCGTCGGGCAGGGAGGCGGGCGGGCGGCCGTAACCGATGGCGTACGGGCCCTTCTTCCGCTCGCCCTCGCGGCGCGCGGAGCGCGGGCGGCGGGGAGCAAGAGGAGGAGGAGGAGGAGGAGGAGGAGGAGGAGGAGGAGGAAGAGGAGGGAGGAGGGAGGAGGGAGAAGGCGGAGGAGGAGGAGGAGCCGGAGGAGGAGGAGGAGGATGAGGAGGAAGAGGGAGGAGGGA